AAAAGGACGAAACCAGGGGAAGTGCAGCCTAAAAAGATCCATATGCATTCTGCAAAAAAAAAAACTCGAGCGCAACAACCAGTCTCGGTCACGGAGGAGAGGAAGCGCATATTCAAAACAGTCATCATCATCCCAACTTCTCCCATCAAGTAAAAATTCAAGTAAAAATTCTCAAACGACATTTGACAGTGGTAAACTTGGGCTCATTGAAAATTTAGAGCTATATTACATGTATATATAGTGAAGAGTTCAAATGTACAAGCTATTGACCGATTATACACAAGGACGGATCTGCCTTAGGACCAGTGAGGGTCTAGGCCCTACCTCAAAAATAAAAAAAAACTTACTAGTATATATAATTATTATTATTATGTATGTATTGTTGTGGGATTTGGAATAATTACAACGAGAGTCAAATTATAACAAAGAATCTGTGTAGCCGAGATGGAAGCATACCTGCATGTGGCTGATGCGCAGGTTCAATTCATGAGGACAACAGGTTTTTTTAATGTCTAGAATTTTGGAATTTTAGCCTCTTAAGACCAAAAATTAAATTAATTGCGTTATGTGTGTTTATTGCACATCAATGACTCGGTATTTCGGTAAATTAGCATTATAAACCATTTCATAGAAGGTTAATTATTGATTTGTTGCCTTTAATGACTTTGTTCTTTATACTTTCACTTTTTTCAGCTTTTATGTTTTCGGCTTTATGCCTTTATATAATTCTATATTTTCGTTTACTTCTAATTTGACAATATCAGTCTATTAAGATTTCTAAAAAAATCACTCTACATAATTGCAGTTCTTTTTTTAGAACCATTTTCCCGCTCACCAATTTCATCCGTAGGATCGACTAAATTAGATCTACGGTTTCCGCTTTCTTTTTCCTCCGGTTTCTCAAATCATTTGGTTTCCATCTGAAAATCTCCCCATCTCTCCGCCTCACACAAATCAGATCACTGTTGAGCTTCTCATCCCTCCCTCACAAAAACCAGTCGACCGATGAAGAGGAGCTTCTCATCTCTCCCCACAGAAACCAGTCGATCGATGAAGAGACAGGATCGAGAAATTGCAGAGGAATTGAGAGGAATACCAAAGAAGAGGAAGACGACACCTTCCCACCCGTCTGACCCGTGTGAACGCCGTGCCTCACCAGCCGCAGAGGCCACCATACTCGCCACCGCCCTTCCAGCAATGTCAGCCCGCTTCGCCGTCTATGAGGCACGTCATTGCCTCCTTTTCCAATACTTCCTCGATGAGGTTCCGCTTCTCTTGGCCATCTTCATCACTCAGTGATGAGGTACTTCGTATTTCTATTAATTAATTGATTAACTTTATTGATTAATAGAAGGAATCACATGAATTGAAAAGAAAAACCCCATGAAGATTTTCTCAGCCATGACGTACTGTTTTATTTTATTAATAAATTTTATTTATTTTATTAATTTATTTTATCAATTATATATTCTCAATTGCATTATTCTATGATTCAACCAACTGTGAAGTAGGTTTCCCAGTTTTATCAATTCCCTATTTCAATATCAATTCCCAGTTTTAGTCTTTAATTGGTTTATTTCACATATATCCTTTAACACTATCCTATTCCATTGGTACGGAGATTTGTAAGTTTATTTTAAGTTTGGCAGAAGATTTGAAAGTTGATTGTAATATGGGGACTTTGATGTACATGCCTTTTACATGGTATCTCATTTATGTGTCTTTTACTGCATGTGGCATCAGCCTTTGTGGCTCATTTTTAATTGATACTTATGTATGACTTCTCAAACCTATTTAGAGTTTTTAAGAAAATCTGGAAGTATTATTAATATAGAGCGTTAATTTATGGAACGTTATTAATATTAAACTAAAAAGACCAATGACAATGCTCAACACTAATTAGTCTAATTTACGGAGCATTAATTTAAAGAAGAAACTCTCACAGAAATTACTCAGCTACTAGGCAAGAAGGTTCAATACAATTCTGGTTTTTTATACTTGAACTTTGAGGATTCATCCATCTAAAATTTGTAGTTGTTTGTCATTTTTCACTTTGGGTGTTTTATTATACAAAAGTATGCCACCTTAGATGCATCTAATCAATGTGGGAGCTATACCATTTACGTTTGAGAATATCTTCTTGGAATTGGTGTTACAGTTTTTTCGACGTATTAGATCTATCCACATTATAGCAGCTATATTTTATTTTGCTGGATATATCGGTTATAGGCTTATAGCAAAGGAGTATAGCATTTAGTTGGGTGAAAACTGTCAATATAATATGGAGTAGCAGTTTTTATGTTATTTCATTTCTTCTTGGTTAGTATGGCATTTAGTTGGGTGAAAACTATCAATATAATACGGAGTAGCATTTTTTATACTTTTTTTTTTTCATTTTTCTGGATTTTCCTGTCAAGTAGTTAAGGTTGTACCACTTCATTTGCACATGGAATCTAAGGTGGGACTTTAATGCTTTATGATTCTATTTTTCAATAGGTCCTGTTAGAGTTGGCTGAAAGCAGGAACAAGGAACAAGATTTAACTGTAAAAATCAATTTCAAGAAATGCACTTTCATTCTCTCCCGATCAAGACACCCACATCAGCCCGAATGACCAACTTACTGTCCCCTAACACACGAACTTCTCATCTTGCACCTAACCAATATTCTACTCTCCCAAGATTGAACATATCATCTCCAAGAGGCTTCTGATAGAGTATCCTTTCGTATCGCATTGAAACGACGAAGTGTATGCTATAGTTTATTTTGCACAAGTTTCAGCTAATGTTTTCATATCCATTAATTATAATGTGAAATCATAATTTATTATCGTGATCGTCTCTAACACTATGTAAAATTGTTTCTCCTAGGATGTATGTATGTGTAACACAGGTTCTTGATATGGTCTCAATTCTAAATTTGATTTTGTTAGGTTTGGAGGGAGCAGAGAGTATGATCATTTTGTAGTTTAGGAGAGGCATTCAATTTAGCCATTTCAAGTACACTTTCAACAAACTAAAAACATTCAACAAATTCAGGTCATTGAGAATTTAGAGCCTATTTGCTCACTTTGGTGACCCTGTTTTTTTTTTTTATTTGCTTATTAGCTTATCAGTCAATTTTTTACCAAAATACATAACTTTTGGTTTGATTTGTTGAATTATGTTATAATCAAAATAAGTAAATTATTTTTATGGTTGATTTGGCTGAAGTCATTGTAGAGGACTATTTTAACTATTTTTATATATTTTTTCTTGATTTTGGTAATAAAATATATATTTAATAATTTTTTTTTTCATAATTTAGCAAAATAAGTAAATTGAAACACTTTAGTTAGAACTTCATAAGTGTCAGCAAATTGAGTCGATTTGGTCAATTACAGTGCTACCAAATGGGCTTTTACATGAGTTCAACAAATTAGCCATTCAGATACACTTTTAACAAGTTGAACACTTTCAAAACTTGGAGTTAGGGCTGGACTCGGGCCGGGCGGCCCGACCCGGAACCGGCCCGGCCCGGCCCGGCCACTGTAGCAACCGGCCCGGCCCGGTGGCCCGGTGGCCCGGTTCACCGGCGGTTCGGGTCGAACCGACCCGGTGGTTCCCAGTTCCGGGCTCGGGCCTTCCATATGGTGAACCGGCCCTGCCGGTTCGGGCCCGGTCCGGGCCGGATTTTAATTTTTTAATTTTTTTTTTGAATTTTTTTTTAAGTTTTGGGTTGGAATAGGTATTTTGGGCCATTTGAAGTGGTTTGGGGTTGAGGGGGAGGGGTAGGAGATTAAATAGGAGAACCCAAAAAAAAAATTGGGCCGGTTTGGCCCGGCCCGGAATCGGAACCGGCTACCGGCGGTTCGGGCTTGGGCCTCCCCTTTCCTGGCCTGAGGCCCGGCCAGGCCTAGGCCCAAACCGGGCCCGAATCGGCCCGAGTCCAGGCCTACTTGGAGTTGTAGTATTATCAAATGGTGTCTTGATATTAAGATATTGGGTCATTGAGAATTTGTTAAAATAGAACTCGATATAGGTAACACTTACCCTGTATATTGAACTAAAGTTCTATGCCGATATTGGTTCCTTCTAATTTGTGTATGAACTCTAATAAATGTTGCTAATTTTTTTTTTGACAGAGTTGCTAATTTAAAGTTGAACATTCCATATTTGTGAAAGTTTAAATCAAGTTTGTGTTTAAAAGTTTTGGTCACTTGAACTGTCATTAAAGAAATTGCATTGTATTGAGGAACATGTATCATCATGAGTTATTTTAGCATTTCATTTTACGATTAAAAAATCAATTAATCTGTTTAATGCTTAGAGGGTATACTCCCGTGCATCAAACCAATCAATAATATGTACTGTGTTACATATTACATTTTTTTATTAAATTATTAATTAATACGGAGTACTACATTGAGGTATTAGAGTCCAATTAAAAATATTATATTTATACTAAGTGAAAACATATTACTAAGTGTGATTACCATTTTCTGTTTACTATTTTTTTTAATTAAAAAATAGAAGTAAAGAAAAACTGGAATTTAAGTTAATTGGAAGATTAATATTTGATGTTTAGATGGAAAAGCAATCAAAAAGACTTTAAATGTTGTTATATACTATCTTATATAATATACTACGAAGTAATTTGTAGGTTTTATGTTCATTTACTTTTTTTGGAAGAATGTTCATTTACTTTTGTTAAAAGCAATAAATGTGTTGTTGTATCTTTATCACAAAATTTATTTATATTTTCAAATATTTTATTGCTGGGTAACTGCATCCCGTGCAACGCACGGGTGAAAAATCTAGTAGTTGTAAATTTGAGGTGTTTATTATTTGAATTTGACAAATTCTTATTCTTGTAATATTTATTTATATGTCTTTGACATTTATGGTGCAACAAATATCAATTTATACCTGAAAAATAAAATTGGTTAAATATACATGCAGTATTACTTTATTACATTTTAAAATTTTTTAAAATATAAATTATTTTATTAAAATTTGGCCCCACCTGAATGCTAATGCTAGATCCGCCCCAGATTATACATATATAATAATAGAGGTTAGATAGATATTTAGTGAAGAGTTCAAATGTACAAGACTTCAAGCTATTAACGGATTCTACACCTTTGACCCTCCTGCTGCTTCAAGAGTGTTCATTCAATTCCAGGGGCGGATCCAGGATATGAGATGTCCTGAGCTGAATAGGAATTATACTAGCTTGAATATTAGCAGGGCAGACTAAATATGAAAAATGAAAAATTTTACAATTGAAAAATTTCTAAGTTGCTCCCCTAGTACGGGCTTCAGCCTCCTGTACATATGCTCCCTCTATTCAATTCGATTCCCCACGGTTTTCTGTCCGCCGCATCACCGGGGGCTGCGAGATAGTGGACGTTAGTTGTCGGCTTGTCTCGTTTGGTTACTACTGATGTACTGCCTCTACATCCCAGTATTGCATAGGCGGAAGGGAAGTAATATTTGCAATTACGGCAAAAAATTACTATGAAATAGTACGTAGTAAGTGATTTGCTGAATGAACCTGTTAGACACGCCTCTTGAAAGTCGATAGAGAGACTAGACAGGATCGATTGTTTTCCATTCCAAATCAGCACGGCATTCATTGTCCATATTTCCGTTAGAGAGATAATTTTATCTCAATGTGATGTGATAATGCATTTTTCATCAATCCATGGTGCCATTGCCATTAAAGATGCTCTGAACACCGAGAAAAAATTGATGAGCAGATTAAATTGAACAATAATTACGGAGTACAATTTAATAGACCTGCAATGCCTGTAAATGGTATATAGAGATTAGCTACGTCAATGGAAAATGCTGTTCAAGTTCACCCATACTTTAAGGTGGGCTGTTCTCATAGTTTGGACCGCAATTTCCTGCCGCCTAGCTTCCTGACTCTTTTTTTCTCAGGCGGCGGCGAGATCATCAGCTCATCTTCTGGTTTTCGAGTCGTGACATGCGAGTCAACATCGAGAGATCTCACAGGCCCGCTTGAATCGGCTTTCTCAGAGGAACTAGAATCGTGTTCCGAGACTCTATCCTCTTCGTCTTTATCATATTCTTCAGATTTGATTTCGCGCATAGTTTTCGAATATATGTCAAGTACTGCCTTTCCACCTGCACATGTGAAGATTGATTTTGGACAGTAAGATACGGCAATTCAAAATCTGCAACTGTAACTCCTATATATCGATACGATTAAACTTAGAATGCTCAAATTCTACAGTAAAGTCAGAATGATCGGACCAGGGATCCATGTGTAGGCATTCTTAACAGCATAAACGACGGCATTTCTGGCGAATTTACTGGAGAAGACGACGGCCTTTGCACGAGTTTCATCATCGGGCATATAACGAACCATGGCTGCAGATCCGAAGGCGCGAGAAGCTACTGCCCATGCTTGCTTCACGAGACCGACGGACTTCCGTCTCAGTGAATTGGCGGTGGGACTGATCAAATCCTGAATCCCCATTTCTTCCGCTCCGCTCCAATGGAGAATGGGAGAGGTTGCAATTGTTCTAATTTTAAAAAATTTGACTTTTAAAAGTTTTTTTTAAGAGTTAGTAGTGTTTGAAAAATTATTAATTTTGAAAAATAAAAGTTAGCAATGTTAGGTAAAATATACGGAGTATGTTTTTTGTGTAATAGAAAAAATAAAAAGCAATTTATAGATTTTAACTTTTAAGTGTTTAATTTAATTTAAGGGAAAAATAAATAAAATACCTCAAACTTTGAAGCAGTGTGAGATAAACACCTCAAACTTTCATATGTAATTTAAATACCTCAAACTTTATATAAAAGGTTATTTTAGCACCATGGTCATATTTTTTTTTCAAAAAAAGAAATTTACGGTGCTAATTGCATAATTTAAAATAGCAAATTAAAAAATGTTGCAATTATATAGAGTGTTGTTTAGATTACAACAAAAGTTTAGAATATTAATTATATATTAATGAATGCTAAAATATTTTAAACTATGAGATTAACACCAAAAATTAACATTTTTGAAAGAAATAATGCATGATCATGGTGCTAAAATAACTTTTTATATAAAGTTTGGGGTATTAAAATTGCATGTGCAAGTTTGGGGTGCTTACCTCACACCCTCTCAAAGTTTGAGGTATTTTAATTATTTTTCCCTTAATTTAAATAGAAAATGTCATATGCAAACATGCATTTTCCCTTTTTAAAGCCAAACATACCTGTTCTCAAAAGCTAATGCGGTCGTTTCTTCCTCTAGTTAGGGTTTTAGCCCTTCCGCCGATCTATTCGAACAAGAAGCAAAGACAGTAAAAGCGAGATGATGGCATCATCGAGTGAAGGTCATGAGCGAAGCTTGGGGTTAAAGTTGGAACAGATCTGAATTCGAGCTCATCTGTGATTGGTGGCGAAAGTTGAGACTTGACAGGGAACATGATGAATAGGAGACGGGGTGAGGAAGAAGCTATAGTACTGTTGGCTCGTCCCCCTCCTGAACCGCCGTCATGGAGTGATGAACTCTGTCTTAATTGTGTTTTGTTTGTGTTTTTATTTGGGAAAGTTCCCAAAATAGGACTAAAACAATGTGAAAATTTCAAAATAGGACTGTCATGTTTTTATTCCCAAAATATGAGTAATTACTGTCAAGTTTGGAAAATACTACTGTTGGTCCCGATTAAATGGTAATCAGTCTAGAGAGGGGGGTGAATAGACTGATTGGTTTTTCAAACTTTTCTCTAAGTCCAAACTGACTTATCAGAGAAGGTCTTACTGTGGTAACAGAGGAAGGCTGGTTCTGATATCAGAACTGGCCTTGGCAGCGGATTCTGATCTGTCCGGGTAGCCTCAGAAACACTAAGGCAAATGCCTTTCTGATAACTCTGAAAACAAGATCTGCTGAACACAGATTCCAAGTCTTAGAGTTAGTCAGTTAATATCCTAAGTGCAGAAATATAAATTGCAGTAAAGTAAATGACACCGGATATTTTTATAGTGGTTCAAGGAACAACGCGTTCCTCTAGTCCACTGTTCCACTAGCTTTGAAGTAGATCAGTTACAAAGCTAATCCCTAGCACTTAAGAAGTTGTCCACGCCTTCTTCAAGCCTAGTTGCCACCCAGGATGCAATTCCACGTCCTGATGGCTGGTCCTTTAACTTAGCTTCCCGGAAGTATCACCACTTCACTACTGCAGTTACTCGGACGCCCTTCTTTTTAGAAGATCCTTTGAAAAACAAAGTTTTTCCTCCAACTTGCTTCATCACAAATGATGTTTGATGAAGTTCTTGAAGAGTTGAAGAACAGGATGAACTTTGCTCTTGTTGGGGGTGAAAGATTGTGAGGTTGAATCTTCCCAACGTAAGCTTTTTCTTGTATTTGTGTTGCGGAGTTTGAATCTCAAGAATGCTTGTAGTATGAAGTTTAGAGCAAAAGTTCCACAAAGAGCATTATATTCCTGTTTTTCGGTTTGTAGCTTATATACTGGGGTTGTCTGCCCGTTGGAGGAGGAGACAACTGCATTGAATGCGCGTACTGTTGACTTGACCGCCGTTTTGGAAGGTTTCTATTTTTATAATATATCTTCCAGATTTCTCGGTCAATCATTTGCAATAAATCCAAAGCGTATCAGGCTCATTTAATGTGCATTAAATGCTTTCCTTCCATGCACAGTCTTCTAGCCGTTGGATGTTATACCCGTTGAACTCATAGCTGTTGGATGTTGCTTGAAATCTTCTAAGTGTTAGTCGGACTCTGATCGGAGTCTTCTGATACGATGGATTCTGATGGCTTTCTGAAGAGTAGCTCTGATGTAGTTTCAAGTCGGGCTCTAGTGTGCGAACTCTGATGCTTGTCGGATGTTGAGTTCTGATGAAGCTATTCACCGAACTCTGATGCTTCTCTGATGAGCAACTCTCATGAACTGCTGAGAGTAACTCTGATCGGATCCACAAGCGAGCAACTCTGAAGGCAGTTCTCATAGAGCAACTCTGAAGGCAGTTCTCATAGAGCAACTCTGATCAGATCCATATAAGAGCAACTCTGATCGTCGACTATACTAATACTTACATCAGAAAATACTAATACATGAAATCTAATTTGGGGGTACTTTAAAATTCTAGTCAAAATAACCTAGCATCATCAAAATCTAATTACATTTATTCCTTACAATTTCCCCCTTTTTGATGATGCCAAAACCCTTAAACTATTTCCAGAGAAGTGCCTTTCACCATGAAGGAAAATAAAATAAACTTTCATTCAGAATCTTGGTGGGCACTTGGCATAGAAAATAGTAAGAGTAAGATACAATCAATCAGATAAGCAAAATAAGAAATAACATAAGATATCAGAGCAAAAACAGAATGCAAATATTTGAAATTGCCATGCAAAATAGAGGCAAGCTGGTTATCTTATTAATGAAAGATATTTAAAGCAACAAGAGGATAGAGTTTAGATATCTTCCTCTTCTAGTTGAGCTTCCTTCGCCTCAATTTCCTTCAGATCAGCATTAATTCTGGCTCTGATTGTAGCAAGGTTCCTGGGATTCTGATATTCTGACCAAGCAGGTTCAAGCTGGCAATCTAGATAGTTTCTGATGGCTTCTGATAGGTCCTTGCCAGGGATCATTTTCATTCGCCACCAGTCTTCTGCTTCTTGCATGGAGCCACCATGGTTAATGATTATCAGCCCATCTTTATCTAGAATCGGATTCTCATTTTGATGGAGAGTCATGTGTTTCTTCATTTCTTGGAACTGGGCTGCATCAGGCTTGGCTAGGTCACTGTTGAGCCATTGAGCCAGAGTGAGTGAAGGAGTTTTCTTCTTTCCTTTCTTGGAGCGAGGAGGGGTTGGTCTATGAATACCAGCAGCAATCTGCTTCTGCCTGGTCTTCTCAAAGTATATAGCAGGATCAGGGGTACCAGAGATGGGAGTCAGAGCTCTGGCGCTTGATCCTTCGGCAGTTCTGATAGCTATTGCAGAATCTCTGGTATCTTCCCCCTTTTTGGCATCCGCAAGATCACCAAGTAGGAGTCCAATTTTTGAGAATGCTGTTGCCTGGTTCTCCTTAATGACCTCAAGGGCACTTGGCAGAGTCTGGGTTACAGAGGCCAGCCCTTCAATGATTTCCTTCTGTTTGTCCACTGCAGACTGGATATCTTTTGTAGTAGCTTCAAGGAGAGTCAACTTGTGATCTCTGTCCTTTCCACTATTGATCAATTTGATTGCAAACTCTTTGTTGTCTTTGCACAATCCTTCAACATTCTGAACCTCTTCACGAGCTTTATCAGAGGACCACTGGAGATCGTCTACTGAATCAGAGATGCCTTTGATGGCTTTGGCTTGCTCTTCAAGAACCTTAGTGTGATGAAGTAGAACAGCAGAGATGCCATCCACTTCCCTAGCAATGTTGCTCAGATTCTCTGTAGTTTTGTCGTTGTGGACCTCAAAAGCTGTGGCAATGATGCCCACATGCTTTAGCAGCATAGAGATCCCTTTGGAGAGATGGTCATGGACTCTGGTGAGATGGCCATCAGTCTCATACTCAGCATCCAGAATCTTCTCCATGCCTTTTGCAATGTGTTGTCCAGCCTGCTCTATGTGTGCCATGAAGGATTGGCTAGGAGGATTGCCCTGGACAAGAGCTTGTACTTGCTTTGGAGGAGGAGAAGATTGTTGTGGAGGTGCTGGGGGAGAGATGGATTTCTGATGGGGTGAGGATTGGGGTTGAGATGTGGGTTGTTTTGGAGAAGGAGGGGGTGAGGAGGATCGGTTTCTGATGGGTGTAATGGGTTTGCAGGGTGATGGTTGTTTAGGTGTGGGCTTCTTTGGGGATGGGGTTTTCTGTGGTGATGGAGTTGGTGACTTTTGTGGAGGTTGAGGAGAGGGTGGTGGAGTGTAACTAGGTGTTGTGGGCTTGGGAGATGGAGATTTGGAAGGTGAGGTATGGGGTTCTGGTGCAATATGAAGAGGTGGAGATGGAGAGTTAGGAATTACCTCAAGAACTGTTTCTTCAAACTGAAAGTCTCTCCATTCTCTGATCAGATTCATCATGGCCAGAGGCACATCATTTGCAGTAGAGGGTTCACCTTCTGCACCTGGAATAGGTTTCATCTTTATCAGTGATTCCCTCCTCTTCTTTTCTAATAGCCATTCCTCAAAGTGTGGAATCTCACTCTCTGATAGAGGTTTGACGGGCTCTTCTGATGGTGAAGCTGTCATCTTCTCCTTCCCTTTGAGATTTCCCTTCTTCTGCTCCAATACAGAGTGTAGGAGTTGAAGATCGAAGCAGAGAGAGATGTCAGCTACACCTGCCCACTTGAGGACTTCTTCTTCCTCTGATTCAAAAAAGGCAGCTTGGGCAAGTATCTGCTGCAGAGGTCCCATCCTCCATTTTCTCCAAGTCAGCACTCTCTGAAATTGCCTTTCTAGGGAAGCATGGGGATCCAGTTCTTGAATGGTGAGATGCTCTGGTGGAGTTAAGATGATGTGTTGATCTGGTGTGGAGATGGGTTGGATCTCTGATTCAGGTTCCCCCTGAC